TCATGCCCCTCACTCAGTTGGTGCCCATGTGCACTGAATCCCACTACACTGCCAGAAGCCAGTAAAATGGCTCTTGACTCGGGCAGGAAGACCCCAAAAGTAATTGATCAACATTAATCAAGCTCAGATAAACTGGTTGTTTGTCCCTCACTGAACTTGCAAACTATACAAATTTATTTTCTGCCAAATTTTTGCCATCTTTGTCAGTACCTCCAAAGTAACAGGGTCAGAAGTTAGAAGTGAAGTCAACATTTTAGAGGGGATTTTTTCTGTTTTGCCGGTTATCCTGACATTTCTCTACTTGTGAATGGTGAGGAATATCATGAACGCTATAATGATAAGGCGTCATTTCCAAATTGACATGTTCCAGGACGCGGACATTTCGCGGAATCACGGACACCATGCTAATCCCGGCCAAGCAAAAGAGCTGTTAGCAATCCGGCAGCTCCGCGGACGGAAAGCAATATGCAAGCTTTATGCAAATTACCAACCTCATGAATATGCCCGATCTTCCGCGTATCGGCCGGCAATCTTTGGCAGGGCAAATCCCTTGAAATTAGCACGTGGCCGAGTTTCCCCTAACTGAATGGTCGACTTCCAGTTAGAACAAGATCAGCCGCCAACTTTATAAAAACCACAATTATTTTTTCCCGAAGTTGGCCGGCTGCCCTGGTGGGAATTTCGAAATGGATGCATACGTTTAACTACTGTGCGGGATTTGCATGAACTGCAGTTTGCCAAAATTGACAAATTTGGGGGTTTGTGACTTAATTACTTTATGTATCACTCAAGGGACTATTTCAGCTTCTGAGTACACTGTACACATCACTCTTTTTATCTTTATTCATTCGCAAAGTGCTTTAAAGGCCATCGTAGAAACCATTTCTCAATACTGTGTTAATAGATACTCCACCTTCACTTGCACCACATACAGTCCTGACGGTACGCACACAGATTTTCTAAGGGTGCATGCCACTAGGGGTGTGCATTTGTGGGTATTTTTAGAACCGGGTACCCGTTTTTTGTTAACATCGGGTACCCGGGTACCCGGAAAAGAGATCGCCTGATAATGGCATTGCGCGCAACCCGGTGGATCATATGCCCGAAAGACGGTTCTTTTTGGTACCTAGGAAGCAAGCAGAACATTGTTCTAAATGTCGGAGATAATCTCTCCTACCTTTTTATCAAACGAAATTGTTATCTTCAGTTTTCAAATTTTGTGTGGGTGTATGAAACAGAAAAACAAATCTTCACGGGAAACGTCAGAAAATA